GCAGTGCGGTAGGGGAAGAGACGGTAAAAGGGAACCGACTCGTCGAACGTGACGTCCTGAGAGGGGAAGACACGGCGCGAGGTGGGGTGGTAAAACTGCCAACCAGGCGCGTCGGGGACAAAGCCAAGGAAGACACAGGGAACAGCGCGGGTGGAGAGCTTGTCCGCGGTGGTATCACGGACAAAGGCACGAGCACCCCAGACCCGGAAACGCGACGCATCGCCAACCTTCCCCGTCCACAGCAGTGTGGGCGAGGTCTCCGGCAAGGAGACACGGGGCCAGAGGTTGAGCTGATGCGCGGCGTACCGGACCGCAAACGGCCACAGAAAATGGGGGGCAGCCGCATGGATCATGGAGGTACGAGCGACCTCCATGACTAAGCCAATGCAGCGCTCAGCAACCCCATTCTGCTGCGGAGAGGCCGGAAGCGTGAACGACTGGGTGATGCCGTGCTCCTCACAGAAGGCTGCCAAGAGGTCGGAGGAAAACTCACCACCTCTGTCAGAGTGCAGACGCAGGACGGGAAACTCCGTCCCGAACCGCTCGCGGAGCTGGAGACGAGCAGCGCGGATCCAGGGGATCAAAACATCAGGGACCTCACCCTTGGTTCGCAAGGGGAAGACCGTGGTGTAACGCGTGTAGTCGTCGACGACCAGCAGGAAGTACCGCTCGTGGCCCTGTCCACGGACGCGGGCTGGGCCCCACACGTCCAGGTGGAGAGTCTGCAGGGGAGCCTCTGTGGGAGGGAACGAGGAGGAGTGAGGAGCGGCGCGCTGCCGCCCCTCGACACAGGGAAGACAGGGAGGAGCAGGCGAGGGTGGGAGGGGAGGGAGAACCCTGGGAAGACCAGAGACAAGGGCACGGCGGTGCATGCTGCGAAGGCGCTGCACCGAGGGGTGACCAAGACGGTGGTGCCAAAGGAGGGTCTGGTGCGACAAGGCGCGACACGAGCAGGGGGCCGCCTACTGACCTGACGCAGACGCAGACGCAGTTACCTGAGGGGACTCAGTGGTTAGTGTGTACAGGCCCGACCCCGGCTGCCGAGTGAAGGTAGCCAGGTGACGACCCGTCTGAGCACACGTGCAGTGTGTCACACGCTCGTAGGCAGGGGTGAACTGGTGAACACCCGCGTCCTGGAGCGCAGAACCCGCCACCAAGTTCGTAGAGAACGAGGGGAGGTGAAGACCCGACAGTGTGCCGGACGGGACAGCAGGACAAGGGAGGACAGTGGAAGAGGTCGCACGGACTGGACCCCCAGAGGGGTCTGCCAGAGAGACTGGAACCGGCCGACTGAGCGGCGTGAGGGAGGTGCTGTCGCGAAAGGAGCGAGAAGCACCAGAGTCAAGTGTGAAGGTGTACAAGGCCTGAGCAGGCGCAGTACCAGAGAGAGCAGACTCACCAGCACCTGGAGCAGCAGCCTCACCCATACCTAGAGCAGGAGACACACTAGCCCCTAGAGCAGCAGCCTCACCAGCACCTAGAGCAGCAGGCTCTATACCTGGGTCAGGCGGTACGCACAGGTAACAGGCACGGTCGGCACTAGTAGGCAATGCATACATGGCAGTGAGAACAGCATCATAGTCAAGAGCAAAGATATCTACCCTCTGCCCAAGCAGCTCCACCCAGTCGGGGAGCTCAGCCTCGTCGCCAAACTCGGTACGCCAGGCGTCGCTCAGACGGGCGAAGCAGCGGGACTGTGTGTGACTGAGCGTCCCGCAAGCCTGACCAGTCCGAGCACCAGTGCGAATGACGTACGGGCAGCGAACGGTACTCAGAGACCCTCTACTCTGAGCGTACCACTCGTGAAGCTACTGGGACGTAAGTGTCTCGCATGGACGCCGCTGCAGCTGCAGCTGGCCACTGCCAGACTCTCCCAACTGACCAGCTCCAGGGCGACAGCTACGACGGCTACCACGACAACCCCAACTAGCGTACCACTCACTAAGCTGCTGGGGCGTGCGAGACTCTCGCGGACGTCGCTGGAGCTGCATCTGGCCACCGCCAGTAGCAGCAGTAGCAGTAGTAGCAGCAGTAGCAGCAGTAACAGCAGTAGCAGCGCGGCCACCCCTACAACCCCAACTAGCGTACCACTCACTAAGCTGCTGGGGCGTGAGGGACTCACGCGGACGTCGCTGGAGCTGCATCTGGCCACCATCAGTAGCAGCAGTAGCAGTAGCAGTAGCAATAGCAGTAGTAGCAGCAGCAGCGCGTGCAGGGCAGGCGCGGCAGGCAGGCAGGCCGGCAGGCAGGCAGGCAGGCAGGCGGCAGCGCACGAACAAGGTAGGTGCTCACCAGTGGCGGGAAGGGCAGGCGCACGACGACGGCGACGGCGGGGCCGCTACAGCTGCGGCAGAGCAGGGCCGCGTCGGCGGTAGGGCAGGTCCGCGACAGCTGCTGCAGGGCGGGGCCGTGACAGCTGCAGAAGGCTCCGCGGCAGCTGCTGCAGGGCAGGGCCGCGACCGCGGCAGGAGGCTCCGCGACAGCTGCTGTAGGGCAGGGCCGCGACGGCGGCAGAAGGCTCCGCGGCAGCTGCTGCTGGGCAGGGCTGCGACTGTGGCAGGGCGCTCCGTGGCAGCTGCTGCAGCAGCAACGGTGGCAGCTGCTGCAGGGCGGCGTCCAGGGGCAGCCGCGAGGAACAGGGGCAGCCGCGGCGCGCGAGGCTGCAGCGAGCTGTGCGAGCTGCGGGCGCGGCGCGCGGGGCTGCAGCGCGAAGTGCGGGGTTGCAGCGCGACGCGCGGGCAGCGAACGCGACGCGCGGGGCTGCAGCGCGACGCGCGTGCAGCGGGCGCGACGCGCAGGGCTGCAGCGCGACGCGCGGGCAGCGGACGCGACGCGCGGGGCTGCAGCGCGACGCGCGGGCAGCGGGCGCGACGCGCGGGGCGGCGACCTGGCCTGACGGGCCTGCAGGGGCGGCTCACGGGCCTGACGGGCCTGCAGGGGCGGCTAGCAGGCCTGACGGGCCTGCAGGGACGGCTCGCGGGCCTGCAGGGACGGCTGGCGGGCCTGACGGGCCTGCAGGGGCGGCGCTCTGGCCTGACGGGCCTGTAGGGGCGGCGCTCTGGCCTGACGGGCCTGCAGGGGCGGCTCGCGGGCCGGACGGGCCTGCAGGGGCGGCTAACGGGCCTGACGGGCCTGCAGGGGCGGCGCACGGGCCTTACGAGGCTGTAGGGGCGGCGCGCGGGCCTTACGGGCCTGCAGGGGCGGCGCACTGGCCTAGGGCAGCAGTAGGCAGCGCGAGGGCTGCAGGACGGCGCGCGCAGCGCAGCACGTCACAAGGCAAGGCAGGCAGGCAGGCAGGCGCAGGACAATACGTGGGGTAGCGTGGTAACCGCAACGGTAGGTGGGCCCGAAAAAAAAAACGGTCCTACGGACCTAGTGCTCTGAAACCATGTTAGAATCTAGCAGCAGGAATGATTGAACTATGGAAGAGTTGGGTACAAATATGAAACCCTAAAGTGGGCTGTACCCCATATTGGCTACCCCACTACAGCCTAAGCATGTATAGCAGATATACCGTTCGACATTATTGACAACGGATGCTAACGACTTTCTCTTGAAACTTGGCAGGTCGACTTCCAGTGGTCCCAGACAAGCGATCAAGTAGCAGCCAAAGCTGCTCCGCCCGAGGCCGCTGCTGTCATTGTTGGGGCTTCTGACATAGATGCTGAAGTTTCTGCTGCTGACATGAGTGTCAAGGCCTCCAATGTAATGCTCGAGTCTCCAACTGTTATCAAAACTATTGATGGCTCAGAGGAGGCAGCGTTCTGTTTGGGTATGGAGCCAGAGGAGGTGGCTCCTTCATTCCCGGTCACGGAGGCACAGCAGGGTGTGAAGGTGGGAGCAGAGGAGAGCAGCGGCTGCTGCAGGATGAGTCGCAGTGAGAGCAGCTGTAGCAGCCACAGTGCATGCCTCATCTCCTAGGATAGCTGCAGCTCCTCTTCCTCCTCTGCTCTCCGTGACCTTGACTCCTTTGCTGACAGCCATGGCAGCAGCGGCACGAACTTCATGGATGTGGAAATGGGGATTGGCCGAGGTTTTCCAGCAATGGGAAGGGATGGAGAATGGAGGCGAAGTATGTTGGACAGCCAGTGGGAAAGCGCATGTTTTCAAATCAGCTGTTTGAGGGTGGTGATGAGGAGGTTGCGAGTTTCAGCGACGTCATATTCATGGGAAGGGGAGTGTGAGTAAGGAGATTGGGCGAGGCTTGTGCAGTAGTGGGAAGGAGTGGAGCATGGAGGCGACAGATGCTTGGGAGCCAGTGGGGAAGAGGGTTTTTTCAATCCAGCTGTTAGGAGGGAATGGCGCGGAGGAGGGTGAGAGTTACAGCAGGCAGAGCTTTGGACTGGGTGAGCTTTGAGCTTTGCTTTGGAGTGTGTGCTACATGACCAGCTGTACATGGATGAGGAGGAGAGGAGTTTCTTGGCAGCAACAGGGATTTCAGTTGGCATCGGCAGGTTTGGAGCATGACGGAGAATAACGGGCTCTGGCAGCCGAGTCGCTCTCCGGAGAAACAAAGGCACAACGACATTTCTAGGATAGGTTAGAATAAATGCCTGTTATGCGTGAGCATCTGTGGCTAGAACCAGAAGCACTGGACTGCCACTGCTGTTGTGTACAATAGGGTACAGTGAATATCTGTACCACATGTTTGGAGTGCTAGCATCCATAGCATCACAGGCACTAGTCAGCATTACGGTATCAGAATCAGAAATCCAGCCGTTCATTTATTTCACTATGTACATGAATCACCCTCCCTTATGCCACTACGTAGATGAATCACCTCCCGAGTGCCCCTAAACTGAAGGCCTTATTGCAAGCTTAAGCCAGACAGATGAGAAGATTGAAAACGTAAGAAAAGCCCTGCATGCATGCAGTGACCATCAAGACAGCATCATGCCATTTCTACCGTAGGTGCTGTTGGTGAAGGTCCTGTGCTGTTGGTGGTACAGTACAGTACAGGGAGTGCGTGCGTCACTTGGTGATGAGGAGGCGCGTCATCTTCACTTGGTGATGATGAGGGGGCGCATCATGGAGTTGTCCTCGTGCTCCAGAATGTGGCAGTGCCACACGTACCCCGGCCCGCGTGTCGCATCAAAGGGGAAGGGCGTTCCATCCTGCATGCATTGCACACCAGGATGGTCAGTTGGCCAGTGGGCAAGACCAGGGCAGACAGTTGGTCAGTGCACAGCAGGGCAGTGAGTTGGACAGTGCACAAGTAGCTACCCAAACAAAGGAGGGAGTGGACAGTCTGACCTGGGAGTACCAGGGTGGGAGAGGGCTGACTGACCTGGGAGTACCAGGGCGTCCAGAGGGCTCACCTGGGAGTACCAGGGCGTCCAGAGGGCTCACCTGGGAGTACCAGGGCGTCCAGAGGGTGAGCACGGTGGCGGGCGGCAGGATGGTGGTGTCCTTCCACCCGCGCTCATACGCCGCCACTGGCTGCTGGGCGGCAGTGAAGCAGGAGGGCAGCGACGCGTTGGTGAAGGAGCAGGCGCCGCTGCTGTAGGCGGCGAGGTCGAAGGGGCGGCGCCACAGCGGGCGGTGCTGAATGAGGTGCAGGTGGATGGGGTGCGCGTCGGGCGTCGTGTTGATCAGATGCCACAGCTCCTCCGTGTTCTGCCAGCACACCGGTGGGAGGGACACACAGCCAATGGCGGCGCAAGGAAGAAAAGAGAACAGGATGACCTCTCTGCTGAACAAACAATTGGGGCATACCGAAGCCAGCGAGATCGCATGGAGGACAATCGGCACGTGTACTGAATAAGACTTAAGGGTGCCTGCCACGGCGTGTTCCCCTCCCTGGGGGTCTCAGTGGGCGAGGCATCCATGACTCAGCTCAGCCCCAGCGCTCACTCACCTCCCGGGGCGTCTCAGTGGGCGGGGCGCTGTAGGGCAGGCCGCCCAGCAGCAGGCGGATGGGCAGCCCGGTGGCGGGGTCGGTCTCCTCCACCGCCGTGATCCACCGCTCCAGCACCACCTGGGATGTGTCCACGGGGGGGACCGGCTGGCGGGTGCACAGAGAGAAGGGGAATGATTTCTGAGTCGACCAAAAATAGGCAGCCCGGTGGCGGGGTCGATTTATTCCACCAATGTGATCCACCTCTCCAGCACCACCTGGGATGTGTCCACAGGGGGGACTGGCTGGGGGGCGCGCAGAGAGGGGGGGGAGGGGGAGAGGTGGCGAGAGAATGAGGCGCGGGGTACATGAGATGCATCAGCAACAGCATTTACGCAAAAAACCAAACGATTTCCCCAGGGGAAACGGCACAGAGACTGTACACCCAAGCAGGGGCGGGCGCACTCACAACGAGGGTGTTGGGGATGCGCGGGGCGGGCAGGCGGGCGCTGTGGTGGTCCACAATGAAGCGCATGACGACGGCCGTGTCGTTGGTCACTGGCTCGCCCGCAGGGAAGGGCGCCCGGGCGTCGTTGGTGAGGATGACGTCAGCACAGGAGGAGCGCAGCGAGGAGAAGTCGACCAGAATGTCGTAGCGCTCCCCCGGCGCCACCAGCAGGGATGTGCGCACTGCCGGGCGAGGAAGGTATCCCCCGTCTGACCCGATCTGATAGGTGGTGGCGGGAGGGGTTACGTGGAGGGGGTGGTTGGGCAGGAGGGGAGGTGCAGAGGGAAGAGAGATTGGTGAAATGCGGGGGTTGGTACAGTGGTGCGGAGTGGTGCTGGGGTAGTGGGTGTGGCGCAAGTGGGGTAATTCACAGTCACTACACACCACAGTGATGGGCAGCTTGTAGCCAGTGAAGGGCGGAGTGAAGTTGGGTTATTTGTGAGAGGTGGGTGGTGAGGTGCAGGGGTTGATACAGGGGTGCGGAGTGGCGCGGAGTGATGCTGGGGAGCAGGGTGCAGCTCAATTAGGGCAATTCAGAGTCGGGCTGGCACGCACCACAATGATGGGCAGCTTGTCGCCAGAGAAGGGCGGAGTGAAGTGGGGGTAGTTGCGGGGGGTGGCGCAGACGAAGCGCAGATTGAAGAAGCGCGTGTTGGCCGCCCCCAACACCCGGAAGCGGTACAGCGCCCTCCTCACGTTCAGGTACGGCCACACCTGCCATGCATGGCGTGCAGCAGGGCGGGGGAGAGCGAAAGGGAGAGGAGGGAGATGAAGGGGAGAGGAAGATAGGGGTCAGAGAACAGGCAGGCAGCATCTTCCCCGTGACAAAAGCAAAGATAGACGGGAGAAAAGGGAGCAAGCTAGGTTGAGAGTGGGAATGGGAGTGGGAGTGGGAGTGGGAGTGGGAGTGGGAGTGGGAGTGTGGGAGCGAGATGAGCAGAGGGGTGAGGGCAGCACCTTGCCGGTGACGAGGATTTTGTCTCCGAGGTATTCGGGCACCCAGTGGGGGTGCACGCGCGGCACCACGCCCTGGCTCGGGTAATCAATGGACCCATTAGCAAAGAACCTTCGGTCCGACAGAGCCAGCGGCACGCAGAACTCCCCCTGGGGCAGCCACTGGAGGGTCCTCTCCACGCCACGCGGGTCCGTGAGGACAAAGAAGCCGGCGAGGCCAGCGGCGACGTTGAGGCGGGTGATGGCGATGGCGTGGTCGTGGTACCAGAGAGTGGTGGGCAGCTGGTGGTTGGGGTAGCGGTACAGGCGCGTGCGGAAGGCGCGCCCCACCTCGCTGTATTGGGTGAACCACGCCTCGGGATGCCCGTCTGAGAAGGACGCCTGCTCGCCCCCGTGCCGGTGCGTCACTGCAAGGGGGGGGGGAAGGGAGTAGAGCAGAGTGAGCAGAGGGGCGTGAGTGAGCAGAGGGGCGGGATGAGAGGAGGAGCAGGAGAGGTGAGGCAGCACGTGCACGGTGCACCAACTCTGCAGTGCAGTGGACTCTACATGGGGAAGCGCGGCTCACCGATGGGAATGCCGCCCAGCAGCGGGCGGGGGACGTCGTCGAGGGTGTAGTCGACGGGGAACATGTGGTGGCGGTCCGTCAGGTGGTTCTCCCAATACACCTGCCACGCCCCACCCCACCAGCATACAGTCCCGGTCAAACCCAGCACAGCCCTGCACACATGCATTCTGATCGGCACTCAAGCAGCACGCACAGCAGAAACACAAGAAAGCAGCGGCGCGCGGGCGGGAGGCGGGCGGGGAGGAGGCGGTACCTGGGTGGGCACGCCGCGCTGGGCGACGAGCGTGGGGCCGGGGTAGTGCGCGGTGGCGGCACTGCGACCATACGCGTACAGCTTCGTGGGCGGCAGGTCGCGGTGCAGCTTCTGTAGCCCGGAGGGACGAAGGGGAGGGGGGGAAGGGTGTGGGAGAGGCGTCAGGGAGGGGCGAGAGCGGGGAAACGAGAGCGGGGAAACGAGAGCGGGGAAACGAGAGCGGGGAAACGAGAGCGGGGAAACGAGAGCGGGGAAACGAGAGCGGGGAAACGAGAGCGGGGAAACGAGAGCGGGGAAACGAGAGCGGGGAAACGAGAGCGGGGAAACGAGAGCGGGGAAACGAGAGCGGGGAAACGAGAGCGGGGAAACGAGAGCGGGGAAACGAGAGCGGGGAAACGAGAGCGGGGAAACGAGAGCGGGGAAACGAGAGCGGGGAAACGAGAGCGGGGAAACGAGAGCGGGGAAACGAGAGCGGGGAAACGAGAGCGGGGAAACGAGAGCGGGGAAACGAGAGCGGGGAAACGAGAGCGGGGAAACGAGAGCGGGGAAACGAGAGCGGGGAAACGAGAGCGGGGAAACGAGAGCGGGGAAACGAGAGCGGGGAAACGAGAGCGGGGAAACGAGAGCGGGGAAACGAGAGCGGGGAAACGAGAGCGGGGAAACGAGAGCGGGGAAACGAGAGCGGGGAAACGAGAGCGGGGAAACGAGAGCGGGGAAACGAGAGCGGGGAAACGAGAGCGGGGAAACGAGAGCGGGGAAACGAGAGCGGGGAACGAGAGCGGGGAAACGAGAGCGGGGAAACGAGAGCGGGGAAACGAGAGCGGGGAAACGAGAGCGGGGAAACGAGAGCGGGGAAACGAGAGCGGGGAAACGAGAGCGGGGAAACGAGAGCGGGGAAACGAGAGCGGGGAAACGAGAGCGGGGAAACGAGAGCGGGGAAAACGAGAGCGGGGAAACGAGAGCGGGGAAACGAGAGCGGGGAAACGAGAGCGGGGAAACGAGAGCGGGGAAACGAGAGCGGGGAAACGAGAGCGGGGAAACGAGAGCGGGGAAACGAGAGCGGGGAAACGAGAGCGGGGAAACGAGAGCGGGGAAACGAGAGCGGGGAAACGAGAGCGGGGAAACGAGAGCGGGGAAACGAGAGCGGGGAAACGAGGAGCGGGGAAAACGAGAGCGGGGAAACGAGAGCGGGGAAACGAGAGCGGGGAAACGAGAGCGGGGAAACGAGAGCGGGGAAACGAGAGCGGGGAAACGAGAGCGGGGAAACGAGAGCGGGGAAACGAGAGCGGGGAAACGAGAGCGGGGAAACGAGAGCGGGGAAACGAGAGCGGGGAAACGAGAGCGGGGAAACGAGAGCGGGGAAACGAGAGCGGGGAAACGAGAGCGGGGAAACGAGAGCGGGGAAACGAGAGCGGGGAAACGAGAGCGGGGAAACGAGAGCGGGGAAACGAGAGCGGGGAAACGAGAGCGGGGAAACGAGAGCGGGAAACGAGAGCGGGGAAACGAGAGCGGGGAAACGAGAGCGGGGAAACGAGAGCGGGGAAACGAGAGCGGGGAAACGAGAGCGGGGAAACGAGAGCGGGGAAACGAGAGCGGGGAAACGAGAGCGGGGAAACGAGAGCGGGGAAACGAGAGCGGGGAAACGAGAGCGGGGAAACGAGAGCGGGGAAACGAGAGCGGGGAAACGAGAGCGGGGAAACGAGAGCGGGGAAACGAGAGCGGGGAAACGAGAGCGGGAAACGAGAGCGGGGAAACGAGAGCGGGAAACGAGAGCGGGGAAACGAGAGCGGGGAAACGAGAGCGGGGAAACGAGAGCGGGGAAACGAGAGCGGGGAAACGAGAGCGGGGAAACGAGAGCGGGGAAACGAGAGCGGGGAAACGAGAGCGGGGAAACGAGAGCGGGGAAACGAGAGCGGGGAAACGAGAGCGGGGAAACGAGAGCGGGGAAACGAGAGCGGGGAAACGAGAGCGGGAAACGAGAGCGGGGAAACGAGAGCGGGGAAACGAGAGCGGGGAAACGAGAGCGGGGAAACGAGAGCGGGGAAACGAGAGCGGGGAAACGAGAGCGGGGAAACGAGAGCGGGGAAACGAGAGCGGGGAAACGAGAGCGGGGAAACGAGAGCGGGGAAACGAGAGCGGGGAAACAGAGCGGGGAAACGAGAGCGGGGAAACGAGAGCGGGGAAACGAGAGCGGGGAAACGAGAGCGGGAAACGAGAGCGGGGAAACGAGAGCGGGGAAACGAGAGCGGGGAAACGAGAGCGGGGAAACGAGAGCGGGGAAACGAGAGCGGGGAAACGAGAGCGGGGAAACGAGAGCGGGGAAACGAGAGCGGGGAAACGAGAGCGGGGAAACGAGAGCGGGGAAACGAGAGCGGGGAAACGAGAGCGGGGAAACGAGAGCGGGGAAAACGAGAGCGGGGAAACGAGAGCGGGGAAACGAGAGCGGGGAAACGAGAGCGGGGAAACGAGAGCGGGGAAACGAGAGCGGGGAAACGAGAGCGGGGAAACCGAGAGCGGGGAAACGAGAGCGGGGAAACGAGAGCGGGGAAACGAGAGCGGGGAAACGAGAGCGGGGAAACGAGAGCGGGGAAACGAGAGCGGGGAAACGAGAGCGGGGAAACGAGAGCGGGGAAACGAGAGCGGGGAAACGAGAGCGGGGAAACGAGAGCGGGGAAACGAGAGCGGGGAAACGAGAGCGGGGAAACGAGAGCGGGGAAACGAGAGCGGGGAAACGAGAGCGGGGAAACGAGAGCGGGGAAACGAGAGCGGGGAAACGAGAGCGGGGAAACGAGAGCGGGGAAACGAAAGCGGGGAAACGAAAGCGGGGAAACGAAAGCGGGGAAACGAAAGCGGGGAAACGAAAGCGGGGAAACGAAAGCGGGGAAACGAAAGCGGGGAAACGAGAGCGGGGAAACGAGAGCGGGGAAACGAGAGCGGGGAAACGAGAGCGGGGAAACGAGAGCGGGGAAACGAGAGCGGGGAAACGAGAGCGGGGAAACGAGAGCGGGGAAACGAGAGCGGGGAAACGAGAGCGGGGAAACGAGAGCGGGGAAACGAGAGCGGGGAAACGAGAGCGGGGAAACGAGAGCGGGGAAACGAGAGCGGGGAAACGAGAGCGGGGAAACGAGAGCGGGGAAACGAGAGCGGGGAAACGAGAGCGGGGAAACGAAAGCGGGGAAACGAAAGCGGGGAAACGAAAGCGGGGAAACGAAAGCGGGGAAACGAAAGCGGGGAAACGAGAGCGGGGAAACGAGAGCGGGGAAACGAGAGCGGGGAAAGAGAAACGAGAGCGGGGAAACGAGAGCGGGGGGAAACGAGAGCGGGGAAACGAGAGCGGGGAAACGAGAGCGGGGAAACGAGAGCGGGGAAACGAGAGCGGGGAAACGAGAGCGGGGAAACGAGAGCGGGGAAACGAGAGCGGGGAAACGAGAGCGGGGAAACGAGAGCGGGGAAACGAGAGCGGGGAAACGAGAGCGGGGAAACGAGAAGCGGGGAAACGAGAGCGGGGAAACGAGAGCGGGGAAACGAGAGCGGGGAAACGAAAGCGGGGAAACGAGAGCGGGGGAAACGAAAGCGGGGAAACGAAAGCGGGGAAACGAAAGCGGGGAAACGAAAGCGGGGAAACGAAAGCGGGGAAACGAAAGCGGGGAAAACGAAAGCGGGGAAACGAAAGCGGGGAAACGAAAGCGGGGAAACGAAAGCGGGGAAACGAAAGCGGGGAAACGAAAGCGGGGAAACGAAAGCGGGGAAACGAAAGCGGGGAAACGAAAGCGGGGAAACGAAAGCGGGGAAACGAAAGCGGGGAAACGAAAGCGGGGAAACGAAAGCGGGGAAACGAAAGCGGGGAAACGAAAGCGGGGAAACGAAAGCGGGGAAACGAAAGCGGGGAAACGAAAGCGGGGAAACGAAAGCGGGGAAACGAAAGCGGGGAAACGAAAGCGGGGAAACGAAAGCGGGGAAACGAAAGCGGGGAAACGAAAGCGGGGAAACGAAAGCGGGGAAACGAAAGCGGGGAAACGAAAGCGGGGAAACGAAAGCGGGGAAACGAAAGCGGGGAAACGAAAGCGGGGAAACGAAAGCGGGGAAACGAAAGCGGGGAAACGAAAGCGGGGAAACGAAAGCGGGGAAACGAAAGCGGGGAAACGAAAGCGGGGAAACGAAAGCGGGGAAACGAAAGCGGGGAAACGAAAGCGGGGAAACGAAAGCGGGGAAACGAGAGCGGGGAAACGAGAGCGGGGAAACGAGAGCGGGGAAACGAGAGCGGGGAAACGAGAGCGGGGAAACGAGAGCGGGGAAACGAGAGCGGGGAAACGAGAGCGGGGAAACGAGAGCGGGGAAACGAGAGCGGGGAAACGAGAGCGGGGAAACGAGAGCGGGGAAACGAGAGCGGGGAAACGAGAGCGGGGAAACGAGAGCGGGGAAACGAGAGCGGGGAAACGAGAGCGGGGAAACGAGAGCGGGGAAACGAGAGCGGGGAAACGAGAGCGGGGAAACGAGAGCGGGGAAACGAGAGCGGGGAAACGAGAGCGGGGAAACGAGAGCGGGGAAACGAGAGCGGGGAAACGAGAGCGGGGAAACGAGAGCGGGGAAACGAGAGCGGGGAAACGAGAGCGGGGAAACGAGAGCGGGGAAACGAGAGCGGGGAAACGAGAGCGGGGAAACGAGAGCGGGGAAACGAGAGCGGGGAAACGAGAGCGGGGAAACGAGAGCGGGGAAACGAAAGCGGGGAAACGAAAGCGGGAAACGAAAGCGGGGAAAACGAGAGCGGGGAAACGAGAGCGGGGAGGAAACGAAAGCGGGGGAAACGAAGCGGGGAAACGAAAGCGGGGAAACGAAAGCGGGACGAGCGGGCGAAACGAAAGCGGGGAACGAAAAGCGGGGAAACGAAAGCGGGGAAACGAAAGCGGGGAAACGAAAGCGGGGAAACGAAAGCGGGGAAACGAAAGCGGGGAAAGGGAAACGAAAGCGGGGAAACGAAAGCGGGGAAACGAAAGCGGGAGAAACGGAAAGCGGGGAAACGAAAGCGGGGAAGGAAAGAAAGCGGGAACGAGAGCGGGGAACGAGGAGGCGGGAAACGAGAGCGGGAAACGAGAGCGGGGAAACGAGAGCGGGGAAACGAGAGCGGGGAAACGAGAGCGGGGAAACGAGAGCGGGGAAAACGAGAGCGGGGAAACGAGAGCGGGGAAACGAGAGCGGGGAAACGAGAGCGGGGAAACGAGAGCGGGGAAACGAGAGCGGGGAAACGAGAGCGGGGAAACAGAGCGGGACGAGAGCGGGGAAACGAGAGCGGGGAAACGAGAGCGGGGAAACGAGAGCGGGGAAACGAGAGCGGGGAAACGAGAGCGGGGAAACGAGAGCGGGGAAACGAGAGCGGGGAAACGAGAGCGGGGAAACGAGAGCGGGGAAACGAGAGCGGGGAAACGAGAGCGGGGAAACGAGAGCGGGGAAACGAGAGCGGGGAAACGAGAGCGGGGAAACGAGAGCGGGGAAACGAGAGCGGGGGAAACGAGAGCGGGGAAACGAGAGCGGGGAAACGAGAGCGGGGAAACGAGAGCGGGGAAACGAGAGCGGGGAAACGAGAGCGGGGAAACGAGAGCGGGGAAACGAGAGCGGGGAAACGAGAGCGGGGAAACGAGAGCGGGGAAACGAGAGCGGGGAAACGAGAGCGGGGAAACGAGAGCGGGGAAACGAGAGCGGGGAAACGAGAGCGGGGAAACGAGAGCGGGAAACGAGAGCGGGGAAACGAGAGCGGGGAAACGAGAGCGGGGAAACGAGAGCGGGGAAACGAGAGCGGGGAAACGAGAGCGGGGAAACGGAGCGGGGAAAAACGAGAGCGGGGAAAACGAGAGCGGGGAAACGAGAGCGGGGAAACGAGAGCGGGGAAACGAGAGCGGGGAAACGAGAGCGGGGAAACGAGAGCGGGGAAACGAGAGCGGGGAAACGAGAGCGGGGAAACGAGAGCGGGGAAACGAGAGCGGGGAAACGAGAGCGGGGAAACGAGAGCGGGGAAACGAGAGCGGGGAAACGAGAGCGGGGAAACGAGAGCGGGGAAACGAGAGCGGGGAAACGAGAGCGGGGAAACGAGAGGCGGGGAAACGAGAGCGGGGAAACGAGAGCGGGGAACGAGAGCGGGGAAACGAGAGCGGGGAAACGAGAGCGGGGAAACGAGAGCGGGGAAACGAGAGCGGGGAAACGAGAGCGGGGAAACGAGAGCGGGGAAACGAGAGCGGGGAAACGAGAGCGGGGAAACGAGAGCGGGGAAACGAGAGCGGGGAAACGAGAGCGGGGAAACGAGAGCGGGGAAACGAGAGCGGGAAACGAGAGCGGGGAAACGAGAGCGGGGAAACGAGAGCGGGGAAACGAGAGCGGGGAAACGAGAGCGGGGAAACGAGAGCGGGGAAACGAGAGCGGGGAACGAGAGCGGGGAAACGAGAGCGGGGAAACGAGAGCGGGGAAACGAGAGCGGGGAAACGAGAGCGGGGAAACGAGAGCGGGGAAACGAGAGCGGGGAAACGAGAGCGGGGAAACGAGAGCGGGGAAACGAGAGCGGGGAAACGAGAGCGGGGAAACGAGAGCGGGGAAACGAGAGCGGGGAAACGAGAGCGGGGAAACGAGAGCGGGGAAACGAGAGCGGGGAAACGAGAGCGGGGAAACGAGAGCGGGGAAACGAGAGCGGGGAAACGAGAGCGGGGAAACGAGAGCGGGGAAACGAGAGCGGGGAAACGAGAGCGGGAAACGAGAGCGGGGAAACGAGAGCGGGGAAACGAGAGCGGGGAAACGAGAGCGGGGAAACGAGAGCGGGGAAACGAGAGCGGGGAAACGAGAGCGGGGAAACGAGAGCGGGGAAACGAGAGCGGGGAAACGAGAGCGGGGAAACGAGAGCGGGAAACGAGAGCGGGGAAACGAGAGCGGGGAAACGAGAGCGGGGAAACGAGAGCGGGGAAACGAGAGCGGGGAAACGAGAGCGGGGAAACGAGAGCGGGGGAAACGAGAGCGGGGAACGAGAGCGGGGAAACGAGAGCGGGGAAACGAGAGCGGGGAAACGAGAGCGGGGAAACGAGAGCGGGGAACGAGAGCGGGGAAACGAGAGCGGGGAAACGAGAGCGGGGAAACGAGAGCGGGGAAACGAGAGCGGGGAAACGAGAGCGGGGAAACGAGAGCGGGGAAACGAAAGCGGGGAAACGAGAGCGGGGAAACGAGAGCGGGGAAACGAGAGCGGGGAAACGAGAGCGGGGAAACGAGAGCGGGGAAACGAGAGCGGGGGAAACGAGAGCGGTGGAAACGAGAGCGGGGAAACGAGAAGCGGGGGAAAACAAAAAACTGAGAGCGGGGAAACGAGAGCGGGGAAACGAGAGCGGGGAAACGAGAGCGGGGAAACGAGAGCGGGGAAACGAGAGCGGGGAAACGAGAGCGGGGAAAACGAGGCGGGAAACGAGAGCGGGGAAACGAGAGCGGGGGAAACGAGAGCGGGAAACGAGAGCGGGGAAACGAGAGCGGTGGAAACGAAAGCGGGGAAACGAAAGCGGGGGGAAACGAAAGCGGGGAAACGAAAGCGGGGAAACGAAAGCGGGAAACGAAAGCGGGGAAACGAAAGCGGGGAAACCGAAAGCGGGGGGAAACGAGAGCGGGGGAACGAGAGCGGGGAAACGAGAGCGGGGAACGGAGCGGGGAAACGAGAGCGGGGAAACGAGAGCGGGGAAACGAGAGCGGGGAAACGAGAGCGGGGAAACGAGAGCGGGGAAACGAAAGCGGGGAAACGAAAGCGGGGAAACGAAAGCGGGGAAACGAAAGCGGGGAAACGAAAGCGGGGAAACGAAAGCGGGGAAACGAAAGCGGGGAAACGAAAGCGGGGAAACGAAAGCGGGGAAACGAAAGCGGGGAAACGAAAGCGGGGGAAACGAAAGCGGGGAAACGAAAGCGGGGAAACGAAAGCGGGGAAACGAAAGCGGGGAAACGAAAGCGGGGAAACGAAGCGGGGAAACGAAAGCGGGGAAACGAAAGCGGGGAAACGAAAGCGGGGAAACGAAAGCGGGGAAACGAAAGCGGGGAAACGAAAGCGGGGAAACGAAAGCGGGGAAACGAAAGCGGGGAAACGAAAGCGGGGAAACGAAAGCGGGGAAACGAAAGCGGGGAAACGAAAGCGGGGAAACGAAAGCGGGGAAACGAAAGCGGGGAAACGAAAGCGGGGAACGAAGCGGGAAACGAAAGCGGGGAAACGAAAGCGGGGAAACGAAAGCGGGGAAACGAAAGCGGGGAAACGAAAGCGGGGAAACGAAAGCGGGGAAACGAAAGCGGGGAAACGAAAGCGGGGAAACGAAAGCGGGGAAACGAAAGCGGGGAAACGAAAGCGGGGAAACGAAAGCGGGGAAACGAAAGCGGGGAAACGAAAGCGGGGAAACGAAAGCGGGGAAACGAAAGCGGGGAAACGAAAGCGGGGAAACGAAAGCGGGGAAACGAAAGCGGGGAAACGAAAGCGGGGAAACGAAAGCGGGGAAACGAAAGCGGGGAAACGAAAGCGGGGAAACGAAAGCGGGGAAACGAAAGCGGGGAAACGAAAGCGGGGAAACGAAAGCGGGGAAACGAAAGCGGGGAAACGAAAGCGGGGAAACGAAAGCGGGGAAACGAAAGCGGGGAAACGAAAGCGGGGAAACGAAAGCGGGGAAACGAAAGCGGGGAAACGAAAGCGGGGAAACGAAAGCGGGGAAACGAAAGCGGGGAAACGAAAGCGGGGAACGAAAGCGGGGAAACGAAAGCGGGGAAACGAAAGCGGGGAAACGAAAGCGGGGAAACGAAAGCGGGGAAACGAAAGCGGGGAAACGAAAGCGGGGAAACGAAAGCGGGGAAACGAAAGCGGGGAAACGAAAGCGGGGAAACGAAAGCGGGGGAACACGGAAAAGCGGGGAAACGAAAGCGGGAAACGAAAGCGGGGAAACGAAAGCGGGGAAACGAAAGCGGGGAAACGAAAGCGGGGAAACGAAAGCGGGGAAACGAAAGCGGGGAAACGAAAGCGGGGGAAACGAAAGCGGGGAAACGAAAGCGGGGAAACGAAAGCGGGGAACGAAGCGGGGAAACGAAAGCGGGGAAACGAAAGCGGGGAAACGAAAGCGGGGAAACGAAAGCGGGGAAACGAAAGCGGGGAAACGAAAGCGGGGAAACGAAAGCGGGGAAACGAAAGCGGGGAAACGAAAGCGGGGAAACGAAAGCGGGGAAACGAAAGCGGGGAAACGAAAGCGGGGAAACGAAAGCGGGGAAACGAAAGCGGGGAAACGAAAGCGGGGAAACGAAAGCGGGGAAACGAAACGAAAGCGGGGAAACGAAAGCGGGGAAACGAAAGCGGGGAAACGAAAGCGGGGAAACGAAAGCGGGGAAACGAAAGCGGGGAAACGAAAGCGGGGAAACGAAAGCGGGGAAACGAAAGCGGGGAAACGAAAGCGGGGAAACGAAAGCGGGGAAACGAAAGCGGGGAAACGAAAGCGGGGGAAACGAAAGCGGGGAAACGAAAGCGGGGAAACGAAAGCGGGGAAACGAAAGCGGGGAAAACGAAAGCGGGGAAACGAAAGCGGGGAAACGAAAGCGGGGGAAACGAAAGCGGGGAAACGAAAGCGGGGAAACGAAAGCGGGGAAACGAAAGCGGGGAAACGAAAGCGGGGAAACGAAAGCGGGGAAACGAAAGCGGGGAAACGAAAGCGGGGAAACGAAAGCGGGGAAACGAAAGCGGGGAAACGAAAGCGGGGAAACGAAAGCGGGGAAACGAAAGCGGGGAAACGAAAGCGGGGAAACGAAAGCGGGGAAACGAAAGCGGGAAACGAAAGCGGGGAAACGGGGAAACGAAAGCGGGGAAACGAAGCGGGGAAACGAAAGCGGGGAAACGAAAGCGGGGAAACGAAAGCGGGGAAACGAAAGCGGGGAAACGAAAGCGGGGAAACGAAAGCGGGGAAACGAAAGCGGGGAAACGAAAGCGGGGAAACGAAAGCGGGGAAACGAAAGCGGGGAACGAAAGCGGGGAAACGAAAGCGGGGAAACGAAAGCGGGGAAACGAAAGCGGGGAAACGAAGCGGGGAAACGAAAGCGGGGAAACGAAAGCGGGGAAACGAAAGCGGGGAAACGAAAGCGGGGAACCGAAAGCGGGAAACGAAAGCGGGGAAACGAAAGCGGGGAAACGAAAGCGGGGAAACGAAAGCGGGGAAACGAAAGCGGGGAAACGAAAGCGGGGAAACGAAAGCGGGGAAACGAAAGCGGGGAAACGAAAGCGGGGAAACGAAAGCGGGGAAACGAAAGCGGGGAAACGAAAGCGGGGAAACGAAAGCGGGGAAACGAAAGCGGGGAAACGAAAGCGGGGAAACGAAAGCGGGGAAACGAAAGCGGGGAAACGAAAGCGGGGAAACGAAAGCGGGGAAACGAAAGCGGGGAAACGAAAGCGGGGAAACGAAAGCGGGGAAACGAAAGCGGGGAAACGAAAGCGGGGAAACGAAAGCGGGGAAACGAAAGCGGGGAAACGAAAGCGGGGAAACGAAAGCGGGGAAACGAAAGCGGGGAAACGAAAGCGGGGAAACGAAAGCGGGGAAACGAAAGCGGGGAAACGAAAGCGGGGAAACGAAAGCGGGGAAACGAAAGCGGGGAAACGAAAGCGGGGAAACGAAAGCGGGGAAACGAAAGCGGGGAAACGAAAGCGGGGAAACGAAAGCGGGGAAACGAAAGCGGGGAAACGAAAGCGGGGAAACGAAAGCGGGGAAACGAAAGCGGGGAAACGAAAGCGGGGAAACGAAAGCGGGGAAACGAAAGCGGGGAAACGAAAGCGGGGAAACGAAAGCGGGGAAACGAAAGCGGGGAAACGAAAGCGGGGAAACGAAAGCGGGGAAACGAAAGCGGGGAAACGAAAGCGGGGAAACGAAACGAAAGCGGGGAAACGAAAGCGGGGAAACGAAAGCGGGGAAACGAAAGCGGGGAAACGAAAGCGGGGAAACGAAAGCGGGGAAACGAAAGCGGGGAAACGAAAGCGGGGAAACGAAAGCGGGGAAACGAAAGCGGGGAAACGAAAGCGGGGAAACGAAAGCGGGGAAACGAAAGCGGGGAAACGAAAGCGGGGAAACGAAAGCGGGGAAACGAAAGCGGGGAAACGAAAGCGGGGAAACGAAAGCGGGGAAACGAAAGCGGGGAAACGAAAGCGGGGAAACGAAAGCGGGGAAACGAAAGCGGGGAAACGAAAGCGGGGAAACGAAAGCGGGGAAACGAAAGCGGGGAAACGAAAGCGGGGAAACGAAAGCGGGGAAACGAAAGCGGGGAAACGAAAGCGGGGAAACGAAAGCGGGGAAACGAAAGCGGGGAAACGAAAGCGGGGAAACGAAAGCGGGGAAACGAAAGCGGGGAAACGAAAGCGGGGAAACGAAAGCGGGGAGAAACGAAAGCGGGGAAACGAAAGCGGGGAAACGAAAGCGGGGAAACGAAAGCGGAGGAAACGAAAGCGGGGAAACGAAAGCGGGGAAAACGAAAGCGGGGAAACGAAAGCGGGGAAACGAAAGCGGGGAAACGAAGCGGGGAAACGAAAGCGGGGAACAAAGCGGGAAACGAGCGGGGAAACGAAAGCGGGGAAACGAAAGCGGGGAAACGAAAGCGGGGAAACGAAAGCGGGGAAACGAAAGCGGGGGGAAACGAAAGCGGGGGAAACGAAAGCGGGGAAACGAAAGCGGGGAAACGAAAGCGGGGAAACGAAAGCGGGGAAACGAAAGCGGGGGAAACGAAAGCGGGGAAACGAAAGCGGGGAAACGAAAGCGGGGAAACGAAAGCGGGGGAAACGAAGCGGGGAAACGAAAGCGGGGAAAACGAAAGCGGGGAAACGAAAGCGGGGAAACGAAAGCGGGAAACGAAAGCGGGGGAAACGAAAGCGGGGAAACGAAAGCGGGGAAACGAAAGCGGGGAAACGAAAGCGGGGAAACGAAAGCGGGGAAACGAAAGCGGGGAAACGAAAGCGGGGAAACGAAAGCGGGGAAACGAAAGCGGGGAAACGAAAGCGGGGAAACGAAAGCGGGGAAACGAAAGCGGGGAAACGAAAGCGGGGAAACGAAAGCGGGGAAACGAAAGCGGGGAAACGAAAGCGGGGAAACGAAAGCGGGGAAACGAAAGCGGGGAAACGAAAGCGGGGAAACGAAAGCGGGGAAACGAAAGCGGGGAAACGAAAGCGGGGAAACGAAAGCGGGGAAACGAAAGCGGGGAAACGAAAGCGGGGAAACGAAAGCGGGGAAACGAAAGCGGGGAAACGAAAGCGGGGAAACGAAAGCGGGGAAACGAAAGCGGGGAAACGAAAGCGGGGAAACGAAAGCGGGGAAACGAAAGCGGGGAAACGAAAGCGGGGAAACGAAAGCGGGGAAACGAAAGCGGGGAAACGAAAGCGGGACGAAAGCGGAAAAGCGGGGAAACGAAAGCGGGGAAACGAAAGCGGGGAAACGAAAGCGGGGAAACGAAAGCGGGGAAACGAAAGCGGGGAAACGAAAGCGGGGAAACGAAAGCGGGGAAACGAAAGCGGGGAAACGAAAGCGGGGAAACGAAAGCGGGGAAACGAAAGCGGGGAAACGAAAGCGGGGAAACGAAACACGGCGAGAGAAAGAGGATATCAAGGGGAAGCGGCGAGCAAGCGGAAGTGCGTGCGGGAAAGCAGAGGAAGGAGGGTGGGAGCTGGCCTGGCGGATCTGGTAGGCGCCGATGCGGATGGGCGCGGCGGAGGAGGCGTCGATCTGCTCGGGAATGGAGTCGCGCAGATCGTCCACAAACTTGCACAGCCGCGGGAAGCTGCTCTCGCACTCCCGCCCCGCCACATGCGTCCCCGCTACAGTCGCCAACGCGCCGACGCACGCGGCGACTGCTGCGAGCAGCAGCGCGAGGCGGAGACGCGACGGGAGAAGGGCAGGGAGAGGCATGGCGCGTGGTGGTGCGATGGAGGGTACTGTGGGAAAGGAACGGCGACGAACGAGACGGACTGCGGCGGTGAGTGGCGCGGGCTGTACTCGCAGTAGGTCGGGCTGTTAACGAGCGAATGCGACACTCGGTTGATTTGCAAGAAGCGAGCACAACGCGAAGATTATATAGCTCAAACGGCACCGGGCCACCACGGTGCGGATTCAACATAGTGCTCTCGCGATTCGAGGGCACTATTGCTGGAAACGTCGGGGCGTGCTGGGACGGCTAGGACAGCCAGCGGGACGCATATCCTGGCCTCTCGTGCGCCTTGGGATTGCACCGGTGACAGCAAGCCGCCTCCGATACGTAGATTGCATACTCGCCGTCGATTCGGCTCTGGAGACACTCTGATCAGATCGACATCCTCGCAAACGGCCATATCGACGTTGGTCGGACTAGATTGACAGACTCTGATCCGATCGCCAGCGCATTCAACGGCAGCCTGTGGGGCTGTCAGCCTAGTGAGCTCCGTGATGGCAGCCTTTCCCTCGCAGCGACTGACCGTGATTGCTCTACCTACAACGCATCATCATACAGTCAGCATTTGATTGATAACGGGTTATGAGTCATCTCCTGTACATGTGGTACGCTGAAATTATGCAACATTGAGTTTGCACTGTGTAACTTATAAACTCATATGTTTTCCAAATATTCCCATTGTCAAATAAAGCATACCCTACCTTTGTCCTGTATGCTGGTTTTGGAAAAGACTGTAACCAAAACTTAATTGATTGTCGATCATTGGAATGTCATTGAACTTGTACATTTGTTGTCCCCTGTTTTAATCCACGGGGGACTCATCTAGGATCTGCCTCACGATCTCCCAATCAAGCTTGATTTTGAGGGTTCAAAGCCCGCCTGGTCCTGTAATTTGCGTTTTGCTGCAAAAGTTTTGCCTGAGTTTCTGTTGTGATATTGTGAATGATGTACAGATTTTGGTGCCAAACAAACCGCTCCCAACTCAGCTCCCGGTTCTTAGCTGAGCATCAACTCCCTCGCGGCTCGCCTTGCAGAACCCCTTAACTACGGTACCGTAAGCCCCCGGATAGAAGCGCAGGCCTCGGATAAGCGCCGGCGCTTATAAAAGGATGAGGGCGCTTATATCCGGTCCTCGATTATAAGCGCACCCCCTAGAAAAAGATGATATATTATAAGCGCATGTTTGTTTTTCATTTGAAAACCTTTCAAATTTCAGGAACGAATTTCACATTATCAGGGAAACGAACTACAATTTCGATTTCCCACACTCTGAAACTCACCTTTTGCGCGTCTAGTCAGCATGTGCTTGTTAGAATCTAGCAGCAGGGATGATGGAACTATGAAAGAATGAGGTACAAATATGAAACCTTAATGTGGGCTGTACCCCATATTGGCTACCCCACTACAGCCTAAGCATATGTAGCATATATATCATTTGACACACCCCCATAGGCAAAGTGGAGGAGAGTAAGGGGTCACAAGACCAGTCAAGAGAAGCAAAGCAAGCTCAGGCTGGATCACAACGTCACCACACACACTGAGCACAAGCAAAGGGCCACAAGGCCAGTTCACATGCAGAGGTATATATGCAACAACAACAGCACAGTGATCTCTACCTAGCAGAGCAAGCAAGCAGGTTTATATATAGATCACAGTACAAACAAAGTCTACAGCAAGTGAGGAAAAGTGGGCACAAGGCCTAACAAAGTGCAGAAATGCTGATGCTCACCAGACTGAAGTGCCTTGGTGAATATATCAGCGGTGTTGGTCTGAGTGGCCACGTAACGCAGACGAAGCTGACCACGCTGCTGCAGCTCTCGAGCCAGGAAGTAACGCAGAGCGATGTGCTTCGTTCTGTGCTCCAGTCTGTGCTCCTCACACAAGGCAATAGCAGCCTTGTTGTCGACGTACAGCACTGGAGGAGAACGAGGCCGCTCTCCCAAGTCGGTCAGCAGGTAGGTCAGCCAGCGTAGCTCCTGTGCAGCCATGGCTGTGGCGTAGATCTCAGCCTCACAACTGGAGCTGAGAACTGAAGACGAGCGAGTAGAACGCCAAGAAACTAAACCAGAGCCAAAGCTGAAGGTGTAACCCTGTGACGACGACCGCTGAGTAGCCTGGTCGTCAACCCAAGAAGCGTCTGAGTGCCCAGTGAGAACAACTGAGCTCCTCCCTCCAAGCACGAGCCCCATGCCTGACGTACTGCACAAGTAGCGCAGTACCCTCTTAGTAGCATCCATGTGCACCTTTCGGTGCCGACCAAGAGCCACGTAGCGAGCCAGAAGGCCAAGAGGGTACGCGAGGTCAGGACGAGTGCAAGTCATCAGGTACATGAGGCAGCCTACTAGCTCTAGGTAAGGACCACTCGGCTCTACGGACTCGTCCGAAGGTGGAGCTGAGAGCGAGTGACCTGTAGCCAGAGGAGTCGGCTGTGCTGAGGACCAGGTGAAGCCGAAGCGCTGAAGGACCTGCTGCACCATGTGTGACTGAGTCAGTGTGATGGTGCGGCGTGCTCTGTCCCGGGTGATCCGCAAGCCAAGATAGCTTGTCAGCTCACCCAGGTCTGTGCACATGTGTCTCTTCTGCAGCTCGGACTTCACGTGGGCGAGAGCCTCAGTGTCAGCAGTGGCAAAGACCAAGTCGTCGACGTATACGAGGATGTAGAACGGCGGCAGCGACGTGTCGGTGCGCAGAAACAGCGACGGGTCAGCAGTCGACGGAGCAAACCCGCAAGTGTAGTCCTCAGTGTGTCGTGCCACTCACGTGGTGCCTGGCGGAGACCGTAGACTGGCCGCCGGAGGCTCCACTGGGTACCAGGAGGGAACGACCCAGTGAAGCCAGGAGGGCGGCGCAGCCAGATCTCCTCGTGCAGGCTGCCCTGTAAGAAAGCTGTGCTAAAGTCAAGAGAGTGAAGCTCGTAGTCACGCTGAGCGGCAACATGCAGCAGCACCCGAAGAGTGGTCATCTTCGAGGTGGGGGAGAAGGTCTGAAAGAAGTCTACTCCCTCTCGCTGACTGAAGCCTCGAGCAACGTAACGAGCCTTGAAGACAGGCGGAGAACCTGGCGGCCGCTTCACCCTGAAAATCCACATGCCACTGACGATGTTCGCCCCAGGAGGGGGAACCTCGTCGACGTAGGTGCCTGTGGACTTCCAGGATGCCATCTCTGCGTCCATGGCTGTCTGCCACTGAGAGGAGTACTCACCCGCGATCGCCTCAGCGTAAGAGCGCGGGGTCGGGATGTCTGGAGCATCCGGGTCTCCCTTAGGGGCAAGCAGCATGGACACGAGGTGAGGCGCAGCGGCTGCAAGACACTCAAGGTCCTCCTGCCTGTCCTCAAGGACGTCCGTGCCAAGAGCACACTCACCCCCGACGGACGGAGGACAGACAGACTCAGACTCAGCGACAAGACTAGCGGCGTAGTCTAGACGACAGGCAGCAGCAAAGTCAACAAGCTCAGCAACAAAGGCAGACGCAGCAGCAGACTCAAACGACGGGTCAGTGACAACTGTGCCTAGCAGACGCGTGACAGTAGAGTGAGCAACACGTGTGCGGTCAGACTCAGGCTCAGGAACGGTAGGCAGAGAAGACGCAGGAGGGGACGGCAGGGGGACGCGCTGCGGAGGAGAGGAAGGACGACGAACTACGAGGTGGGTGCCGGGGACAGTCGACTGACGCGAACGAGGAACACGACGACCGGAACTACTAGAACGGACAGGCGAGACAGGACGCGACGCAGGCTCACGACGCTCAGTAAAACCCCCTGTCTGCTCAGTGTAAGGAGAAGGAGCAGGCAGCGGTGAGTCAGGCTGTAACGGAAGACCAGTAGATGAAGGGAGACTAAGAACCTGGCGAAGCACAGAGTCAGGCGGTGGCTGAGACGACGGAGACAGTGGAGCGAAGAACAGGCGCGGCTGTGCAGTGCCACCAGCACCAGCAGCTCCAGCACCCCCAGCAGCTCCAGCACCTCCAGCAGCTCCAGAACCCTCAGCGCTAGCTCCTCAGGACCAGCTCCACCAGCAGCAGCACCCCCAGAACAAGCACCTACAGTCCCAGGGTCTCCAGCCTCAGTGTCTCCAGCAGCAGCACCCCCAGACCCAGGGTCCCCAGCAGCAGCACCCTCAGGCTCATCAGCACCTCCAGCCCCAGCAGCTCCAGTACCTCCAGTACGAGCACCTCCGGGACCAGCACCACTCCCAGCTCCAGTGACGACAGCAGAAACACCTCCAGCCGCAGAGCCCCGAGCTCCAGAAACGCGACCCTGACGGCGACCGTACCAGTCGTGCAGCTGCTGTGAGGTGAGAGGCACACGCGGACGAAGGCTGCTACTCCAGGGAGACCGCGCAATAGCAAGCTCAGAACTCTCAGCGCCAGCACCCGCAGCAGGTCCAGAACCTCCAGCGCCAGCACCCGCAGCAGCTCCAGAACCTCCAGCGCCAGCACCCGCAGTAGCTCCAGAACCTCCAGCTCCAACACCCTCAGCAGCTCCAGACTCCGCACCCCCAGGCTCCGCACCTCCAGGCTCAGCACCCCCAGGCTCCGCACCCCCAGGCTCAGCACCCCCAGCCTCCGCACCCCCAGGCTCAGCACCCCCAGGCTCCGCACCCCCAGAAACAGCACCCCGAGCAGGACCACCCTCAGCAGGACCTGAGTCACCAGTGACCTCAACCGGCACAGTCAAGGGAGGAGCGTCTACCTGAGACACACCTGAAGGAGCAGGACCGGGAGTGGGGAGGGGGTCTACCTGGGGAGCACCTGGAGCGAGGAAGAGCGGCGGGGAGGGGAGAGGGGCAGTGCGGTAGGGGAAGAGACGGTAAAAGGGAACCGACTCGTCGAACGTGACGTCCTGAGAGGGGAAGACACGGCGCGAGGTGGGGTGGTAAAACTGCCAACCAGGCGCGTCAGGGACAAAGCCAAGGAAGATACAGGGAACAGCGCGGGCGGAGAGCTTGTCCGCGGTGGTATCGCGGACAAAGGCACGAGCACCCCAGACCCGGAAACGCGACGCATCGCCAACCTTCCCCGTCCACAACAGTGTGGGCGAGGTCTCCGGCAAGGAGACACGGGGCCAGAGGTTGAGCTGATGCGCGGCGTACCGGACCGCAAACGGCCACAGAAAATGGGGGGCACCCGCATGGATCATGGAGGTACGAGCGGCCTCCATGACTAAGCCAATGCGGCGCTCAGCAACCC